GGGGTAACCGTGTGCATCAAACAATGGCGCATGGCCTCAAATGGAATTTCAGCTATGTTGGGATTTAAAAAGTACAAGGACGGAGGGTTGGTTCTACCCTCAATAGGATTGAACTTTATGAAATCAAAAAAAAACCAACCCAGACTGAGCCGTTGAACAAAAAAAGAAGCGCAAAAAGCCACTGCAGGCTAGACTTGGTCCAATGAGACATGAACTATATACCTATAGAATACGGATTGACGTTTCGGGGGAATTTAAAGGGAATATACAACATTTGCAAACATCAACAAATAAAACTACCAAGTTTTTACGAAATAAGTACTAGGATGTTGGTTAATGACAGTCTAAAGCATCCTGTAAAATTATGGCACCTGGTGTGAAGTCATTTTCAAGAAAATGGTATTTTTGTATAAATTTCCAACCAGTCCATATTTCTTGGTCTGCAACCATAACAACCTGCTGGCGTGTGGGTGGATATGCGGGTGAACAAGCATTCACTGTGTGGAATTCCGAACAAAAGAGATCCACGTAAACCAGGTAGCAGCGACGCTGTGTGGACTTGCCTACGTCCACACAGTGTTTCCCCCTCTCTGGAAAACACGTTTAGAGGCATTTTGGCGTTAGGTTTATTTGTGGCAAAATGAAGAGAAACACTTAAGAGAATCATAGAAAAAACTTGGGTTGAAAGAGTTTTCACAGTTTGAGAAAAACGAGTCTTTTTCACTGTTCATTCTTAACTACACGAAAACAAAAGAATGTCTACACTAGGTATGTAAAACGAACGTGTGGGTGTGTGGGTGTGTGTGTTGAGAGCGCCCTCTACGGTAAATCGCTGCAAAAGGTATAGTTCAATAACCCGTGCTATGCGCGCAAACATCGCACCGGGCTGCAATTTTTTTCTCCCAAACGACATCCACGTATGGGTGTACGCTATGGTGTTTTGGACTTAACTTTTATAAAAACATGAGGAAAAATTTGAAAATTAGTAAAAAAAAAGTGATTTTGAACGTTATGAAATTCGGACTTTATTTCCGTTTTAAGAAAATTCCTCCAAAAAAATTCGCCACCAGGCTAAGGACGTCTGGGAACCAAGACTACATTCTGAAGGTCAAGGCTGGGACCAAGTCTCACAGCGTATGCATGCAGTTCCTACTAATTATACGGGGCCAGTATGGTGTGGATCTGTTTTAATGCACTCGGCAAATACCATCAATATTCTCCGCTGACTAAATTAATTTTACTCAATCATTGGTATTTCCGCCGCAAAAAACACGGGGGAATATAGACTTCAAAGCATAATTGCCAGTTAGTCTACCCTGACTCCCCCCCCCCCCCCCCAGCCGACTGTCAATCGGATGGACAAACAATTCCTCCCGTGGGTAATTATATATAAGGGAAATGTTGGGGGGGGATTGTGCCTTTGATGATACAAGCATGACATTTGGCACACGGTCAGAAGTATGTCTTATGAAAGATAGGCCATCGCAGATTTGTCCTTTGAACAAATGTAGGTAGAATAACAAGCAATGATTAGGCCCCCCAAAAAAGTCTCCGGTTTCTGGTATGGAGCTTGCCCAAAAAGAGGTGCGGCGACGCGGCTTTTTTTTTTTTTTTACCTGATTTTTTTGCTTTAAATGTCGGCTGATGACTGCAAATGGTGCCCGACTAAACTTAGTGCAAATATATGGGAGTCCAGAGAGGCCACATAAAGCTTATTCTCGACCATAACCCAATCTAAAAACACGTTAAAATTGTGCAGCAGCAGGATTCCAGTCGAACCAGTGAGTTTGGCGGTTTTGAGACATCATCTTTTATTGAAAAAAAAACCTTTTTCATTTTGCCGACGCGCATGGCTACGGCGACGCGCGCGCATACCAGAAACCGGAGACTTTTTTTTTTGGCCTTATCAAAGTTTTAAAATGGCTGACATTAATTGTCATTCTGTACCCTATATTTTTTAAAGGACAAATCTGCCATGGCCTTATAGCCAAATATCATTCTCATGACATACTCTGACTGTGTGCCAAAATCCATATTATCATGAAAGGCACAATAATCACCCATCTGCCGCACTAGGTATACTGTAACTGGATTTATGAAACGGCGGGGTGGTCCAAATGAAACACGCATCCATTCGTGGACTCGGGTTGTATTGATTTTATCATGTGATGTGACGTGAAATAAAATGGACGAATAAATCAAAAGGGCAAACCCATTCAAAAAATACCATTATTCACTAGTGCCGAAAGATGGCGCTATTTCTGGTGCGTGATATGCTTTCGATGTACCACGTCCACAAGAACAAAACACAATAAAGTGTACATCTAGTTGTGCAGTTTCGATTGTATTTTCGCACCACCGTACATCAAAATTGTGGTCTCTTTGCTAATATTAATTGATGCAACATCTTCCATAATAATGACCGAGCACACCTATTTTGTTTTACATTTAGAGTGGTGCGGTGACGCGGCTTTTTTTTTTTTATTACCTGATTTTTTTGCTTCAAATGTCGGCTGATGACTGCAAAATGTGCCCGACTAAACTTAGTGCAAATATATGGGAGTCCAGAGAGGCCACATAAAGCTTATTCTCGACCATAACCCAATTTTAAATCACGTTAAAATTGTGCAGCAGCAGGATTCCAGTCAAACCAGTGAGTTTGGCGGTTTTGAGACATCATCATCAAAACTGTTTCATTTTGCCGACGCGCATGGCTACGGCGACGCGCGCACATACCAGAAACCGGAGACCTTTGGCCTTAATTCGGATTCGCTGTTATGATGCAATAGGCTAATTCTGTTGTCACAACCTGCTACAAATTTTGAGTAGTCAGGTCATATACTCCCTTTTAAAAGTTTTATTGGAACAATTAAAACAAAAACTCAAAAGTGGTGGTTGTTTTACATGATTGCCCATGTCAGTGTGAGCCATCAGCTCAGTATGTAACAATATAATTATTTGTAATTTCTTCATAAAGTAGTAAAATCACTAGCAGCACGCCAAGGTTTGTTTTCTCCTCTTATAACGTCAAAGTGTCTCATGATTGGTACAGTATATCATTACCACTGGGAAAACAATCTCCAAATAGCCCATGAAACGGGTCTTCCCCAATTAAATAAAACTACAAAAGTAAATCACATCAAAATATTACTCTCTACATTCTAAAGAGTGAAATTGGGGACTAGACGTTTTAGAGTGAAAATCACTCTCATTATCAATTCAAATAGGCTGAAAAAGCACCACTTCAGTCGAGGTTTGAGTGAAAACTCGATTTTTTCCATTGAAGGAATTTCACTCTAAAACGTGTAGTCCCTAGTTTCCGACTGTAGGAGTGAATCTTCACTTGAATGGAGTGAATTTTTACTCTTTGGGATTCCGAGAGTAACAATTACGATCTAATAACCGAGATAAATATTCAAGGCTTAATCAGTCTGCAATTCTTTTAACGACGAATGACACTGTGAAAAAAAACAGACACTATAATATCTTAAAGATTAAAGCTTACAAATATCCAGACATTTATATCAAGGTAATACATGCATTGTCATCAGCAATCGAGATGCCGGCCGGCCAACATTTGGAACAGCGCCCCCTTCGGCTAAAAAAACAGTCAAATACGTTGCAGGAAATTTATCCGCACTCAAAATCTAGCAGCATATTTGCAGCACCCAACGACGCATAAAAACCTGTTTGTTTTAATGGTAGTTTTATTACCACGTTTTTACATAAAAGTATATAAGGCAAAGCATATCAACAATGAAGACTGACGTGATCGCGTTGCCGTCGTGAAAAGAGGGCGCCCTCTACAAATTCTACTTCGGATAGAAACTTGATGATTCCTATACACGCAATGCCCTCACGTGCCTAAAGTCTATGTACCGTACTTAGATCATAGGATGCAGACCTGTAAATCGACTCTCATAGATATAAGTAATAATATTTGAAATATATGTACTCGCAACACTTCAAGGTTCAACCTATAACTTATTTCATCATCTTTCATATTCTTTTAATTTTTTTTGGTGGTAACCTTATTACTTTTGGGAGAAAATGCCATCCAATCGGATGGTTGCCCCTACAAGTAGTCCACGCTGGCTCCTCGCCGTTTTGAAAAGGGATGCCTGCACTCTATTGCAAAAAGAGTAATCTTAGGGCCCAATTTCATCTAAATTTCAGAGAAATACGAGCTCGCTCTAGTGTATGGCATCCACCCAACATTCAAATTCATGAAAATGCTCCAATAGCAAAGAAATGGAGGGCACACAAATCGTCATTTAACTGGGGTAGGCACTTCTGTGTCTATTGTATGTCTGCACCCCTAATGTGCATGGCTTCTTCCCATCCTTTCTTTTTTTTCAAGGTTTTTTTTTACAAATCCTCAAGTTCATGGCCCTCTATTATACCTGAGAATTTGTGGGCGTATAAATCGTGATTCGGCCGGCGTATAGGCAACTCTGGGCCTATTTACAAGTCTGCACACCTAATCGCATATACACTGAGATCGCCGCACACCGTTTGGGAAAACATGGCCGGTTGTCGCAACTTATCAACAGACCGATTGCATTCAGCACCCATATTTGAGGTGTGTTTTGTTATGTTAATTCATTAACAATGAGGGCACAAAAGGTCTGCCCGGGCGTAACCCTGTTAAGCAAAAGCACACACCTCAAAATGGATGCAGCACAAGCGACCTATATAGGGTTGCAGACCAGCAAATAAATTTCCATAGACCCCAATGATAAATTCCCTCACTTCAGAAATTCAGGAAAAATACTCAAAACTCTCTGAGCTGTTCAAGACGTACATCACATTAAAGCTTATTTCATTATCTTTCATTTTCTGTTCATATTCTGGGGGTTTACCAATGACTTTAAGGAGAAAATTCCATCCAAAGATGATCACCCCTAAAAGCAATCCTGAAGCCCATCGCCATTTTGAAAATGGACGCCTACGCTCCCTTGCAAAATAGAGCCATTTCAGGGCCTAATCATCATCCACATTTCACAGAAATACGAGCTTGCAGTCCTCTGCACGGCCTCCAACCTTCTTTTCTACAAATCATCAAGTTCACAGCCCCCCAAATGCTCTAATACTAAATAATTTTAGAACATACAAATCGTGATTTGGCCGGCGTAGGCAATTTCAAATCGATTTACTGGCCTGCACACTTAGCCAATTGCTTTAAAATGACATCAGTTTCTCTTATGTTTAAACAAAGAATTATAAGCGCATGCATGCAAGGCCCCCACTGTAAGTGGGCGCCCCAATCAGGCTCGCTGTTCTCCCATGAATTCCTCGGCAAGTTGCTTCCTGTCAACGTCTCCCCGTTTTGTCTTCGATAGAGGGCGGTCTTTGCATGTCTTCAGGATGTAGACGATACCTCCCACAACGAGCATCACGCCTGTATAACACACACAAAAAAACACATTATCACAAACATTTGCACTTCTATTAATATAACAACCTTAAAAACTTCTGGATTATTACCTACCATGATTGAAAAGTTAGAAAATGATTACCCAAAAAAATGATCGCCGGGAATCGTTTCTGGGTTGGATGTGTAAAGTTGCTAAGATCTTACCGCATATGATTCCAAGAGTGATCCGAAACACGCCGACGAAGCACACGATGCCGAAGAGCACGTACAGACAGCCTCGCTTCCACGTGTCGAACCAACGGACTGGTCTGCCAAACTTCTGACAACATCCTTTGTCTCTGCGCAAGAAACAAGATTGATTTTTTTATCAAGAGAGGAATTCGAGTTAAGGACAACCTCGACCCCAGGGTGTCGAGCAGTACGCGCCCATCACTACCTGCTCTCTCACCCTGGTATTGGATCATTTGCATGTGCAAGATATTTTGAACACGTATGCAAATGAGGAATAGTCTGGTGCCTGCTTGTGCGTTACATTTGCGTTTGTTTTTGTATGCGGTGTCTGGGGTAAAAACAATTCGTCGCAGTGCGAGCATGGCGTGAGTTACGAAAAACACGATTTATTTAATTAAAGTGTTACGATCTTACCGAGACAACATGTAGTATTACATTTCATATTAATATGAACAAATTGGGAAGGAAATGAGTATTTTCGAGAAGGCGTGGACGAAAAATCGCGAAAACACGTCCTGCACGTTGTGAATAACAACACCAAGTACACGTCAAAAATCCGTTACTAGCCAACTGCCGTATCGAATCAGGATGCAGGAAGAAAGTTTCCTATCCAGGGTTTACTATTGGAAACTAGGTTGGAAATAAAGTAAGCACTGGGGACGAGGTTGAGTTAAGGAGGATTAATTGGAAGCAAGGGCGGATCCGGGGGGGGGGGGCAACGGGGGCCATGCCCCCCTCCCAACAAAACTAATCCAATTTTGTAAATTTTTTTAAGTGACGTCTATGGTGTACTATAAAGGACACCTATCTGTTATCGTCGTGCGTGTGGGGAGCTCCGACGGACCTGCTCACAGGCACGACGGACCTGCTCACAGGCACGACGGAGCTGCACACACGCACGACGATAACAGATAGGTGTCCTTTAAAGTACACCATAGACGTCGCAATAAATGCAGGCATGCGTACACCACCATCTTTTCCTCGAAAAAAATGGTCAAAGTGGTCAGAAATTGTCTCAAATCGCACCACAGAGCATCTAGAATCCAAAAAAAATTTCGGGGCCCTTTAGCGGGCCCCGAACCCCACTCCATAATTTTTTGGACCCACTTTTTTGGGGACCAAGTATTTTCGCCACCCCATTGTGTTCTGGATCCGCCCTTGATTGGAAGGGCGTGGTTGGGTTTGAACGGCGCGTGGCGAAGGGGGAGTGCCGGAGCAACCCCGTGAGTGCTGAAAGCACACGATACGGCTAGCGTGATCCTCGCAGCAATTGTTGTTCTTCTGCAATCGGATCAAGTCATTTACCATAATACGCATGCGTGTAACATATCGCATGATTGGTATGATATAATAATGTGATATGAGATAAGATTAAAAAGTTTAGAATGGTGGGGGCGCCATTGTGGCGTGGGTACTTATACGATGGTGCGTTTTGGATATAGTAGAGGACCTTTTCTTTTTTTAATCCTCTCAACAACAACAAAAACAGCACTGGGGCCCTTGGCTTTAGTGCCCATTTGAAATTCCACTATCCCTCCCGGCAGGATCACCCTAATTATGGCGCCCTCTTTCGCCTGTTTGCACGCATAAACGCATAATGGCTTCCGGAGCTTTGGCAAATTAGTTATAATTAAAAAAAAAACTGTCGCATGAGATCTCCAAGACATTGTGTCAACAATACCCTCATAGGACGGCATAGAAAGGTTGATACATGTCAGTCCTGGTATACTGAGCCTTCATCTCCCTGGGAAATGTTTAGAATCTAGATACTTTCTCGTGCATTTTGTAGCAGTTTGAGGAATTTTAGGGATCATGTATTGACCGTGTTCAGTATACGAGTAGATTTTTTTCTCGAGTCTAGGTGTACAGGCATTACATTCACTGTGTGGACTTCTGAACAAAAGATAGGTCCACATAAACCAGGTAGAGGAGACGCTGTGCGGACTTGGGCAAGTCCACACAGTGTTTCCCCATTTCTGGAAAACAGGTTTAGAGGCATTTTTGGGTTAGGTTTATCTGTAGCACAATGAAGAGAAACACTAAAGGGAATCATAGAAAAAAATTGGGTTGAAAGAAATTTCACAGTTTGAGAAAACTGATTTTTTTCACTGGTTTTTCTTAACTACACGAAAGCAATGGAAAGTCCACACTTGGTATGTAACGTAAACTTGGGTGGGTACGTGTGGTTGCTTTCACCTGCAGCATCCGCAGTTTGCGAAGATCAGCCCCACCTCAAGCACAGTGACGATCCCGCCCACGACGCTGTGTGTAAGAAAATAAGATCACGTTAATTCGTGTTATATGGACTGAACTAACAAGTCTTCTTTTATAAAGGCCCTTATGCTGTGATTTAACTTTCTGTTAGAAATAAACATCAATTCACGAGGGACTCTTTCTGTGGAAGATGTTTTGTATAGCGATAAATTAATCTTAAGTTGGTGGATTACTAAGGGCTACACTGCAAGCATCTCAACACCAAACATTCAGACGTCTCAATACCGGGGGACAACGACTAATTAATTTATAGGGTTTGAGAAACAATTCTACAGGTGCTCGCAGTAGGCTGGACTAGAAGCCTGAAACATATGGGCCTTGCAAGGTTGATTTTCTCGTCTACTTATGAAATTGCATGCCAAAATTCCTGAATCATTCGGAAATTTATAGTTGATTCTGTGGCGGTGTGTGCCCCGCTGCCACCCTCTGTGCAGGGTGTACAGGGTGTCCTGAAAGTAATGGTACATGTAAACCCCGCCATTTTCGTCAATTTACAACCGGAATTTACTGCAAATGTTTACACGATCTTCAAGGTTGCAGATTTAGCTTGAGAATACCGTTTGTTTAATTAAGATTGCTTTTGTAAATCCAGAGATATGTTTGAATAACCGCAAAGCCAAAACAAAAACATTCTGTGCCACTTTTAGGAAGCGAGTGCTTCAAAGATCAGACAATGACAAACATTCCATTCACACGACAATATAGGGTTTTGTTTTTATGTTGAAACAATTTAGTACAGACAGGTTCACTTCTTTAAAACTTCAATGACAGACTTTAATTAAATATAAATAAATATTGCACACTCTGCTTAAAAATATTAAAATCACTAACAGTAAAGTGATTTGGTTTTAGACTAGGACTATACTGATTTTAACTGCTTCACAAAAAGTGGCACAAAATGGGTTTCTTGGCTTTGCTGTTATTCAAACATATCTTTGGATTTACAAAAGCAATCTCAATAACACAAACGGTATTCTCAAGCTAAATCTGTTACCTTGAAGATGGTGTAAACATCCATTTTTGTAAATTAGCAAAAATGGAGGCGTTTACATGCACCATTTTTTTCAGGACGCCTTGAAAAAAACCCACTCCTTTCAACGCACTAGACCACAGCGACAGCACATTCTTCGGACAGCTTTTTAACAAAATAAAATAACTCACCACTTGTCTTATTCAGCAAACTTTGAAGAAAAAAAAAGAGGTTTTCTGGCCATTGATTTGAAATTAATAGTGCTCGGTCATCCGTGACTGAAGAGATGCATATAAGGTATCAGTGCATGGATAGCTGATGAACTACCCTTTACGATCATGAAGCAACTTTGACAGTGTTCAAATTCTTAACTTATTTTTGGATGACCTTTTTATACACCCTGTATATTCAAATGCACATTATATACTGCACGCTTGTTTGTCCAATGTATACTTACACCAGGTAGATGCCGATCCAGAATAGCGCAGAGGTAATGAGAGTATGAATTCCAACAGCAATAAGGCCTACAAAACGAAAATCATTCACAATATAGGTTTTTAAAAGCCAAGTCAAAATTACACCTAATGTGTCCAAGTGATTAATATCACAACCAGCCGGTCAGACGAAGGCAGCTTAACTTAGTCGTAATTTTTGTCCGTTAAAAGTTGTTTGGCTCACGTATACAGGGTGAGTAAAAAAAAAACGAAACCCAAATGTCAGGACTATTGTTTTAGTGAAGTTCTGCATGTAGCACTTTCCAAATCTAGGATATGAAAGCCCAATTCATAAGATTTCTTTTAGTACAAGAACCACTCAAATCACTTGTGTACTTTGCTGAAAGAACACTTACCTTTTTTTGTATCCGTGGACACTACTTTAAAACGGTGGTTGTGTTTAAAATTCCGTAACTTGAAAAGTACATAAGTGATTTGAATGATTCTTGTACTTAAGGAAAGTTTATGAATTGGGCTTTCATATCCTAGATTTTGAAAGTGCTACATGCAGAACTTCACTAAAACAATAGTCTCGACATTTGGGTTTCGGGTTTTTTTTACTCACCCTGTATAGCATGCCCAACAAAAAGTGCAACATTTAGAAAACAAATAATTAAAACTGTTTAATGTTTGTTTTTCTTCAATAAAATTATATATTAGATTAAAGCCTGACTATTTCTTAATCCACTCCTTTTTACCCCATTCCAATTGGGTCCGTAGATCCAGAAATACAATCAATTAAGTACAAGGATGTACAGTTTACTTGGGCCACTCTCACCTGTGCTGTCACCAACTTTAATGCCTATTCAATGCTTAACCCAGATTCAGCATGTCCAGGCGAGAGTGGCCCAAGTAAAATTTACACCTTCACTTAATAACTGATTGTATTTTTGGATCTCGGGACCCAAATGGATGGGGTAAAAAGGAGTGGATGGAGAAGTAGCCACAGGCTTTAATGTAATACATAATTTTATTGAACAGAAAAAAAAACATTAAATAGTTTTAATTATTTGTTTTCTGAATGTTGCTCTTTTTGGCACACACTCTGTAGAGGCTGGCTTCGTTATTGGAAAGCTTAACGCTGAGCGGAAAAACATACCGATTAGTTCAGATATCAAGAGCAGGCCTATTATATACTTCAACTGTTAGATTCTCCCATTTCTTATCCATGCAGAAAAGAGGCTGTGTCAGGTCTGACCGTACGTTTCTAATCAAACCTGACTACAGTTTTTTTTATGTGAACTGTGTCTTTTTTAAGTGTATCACTCCTGATATGGTTTTGGTTGCTCCCTGTCTCTCTATAATCATTACGAAACAACAGTGCGCGAGGCACGAGCAGTGATCCGTGCCGAACTGTCCTGGGAAAACTGCCCGTGCATTTTTGCGACGGACGAATACAATCCTAAATGGCCTTAAGGACGGTACACACGCAGGCCTGCCGGTACAGCCTATATTCTAATGATATGTCTCGTTTTGCCAGCAGTTTTTTTAGTATGACTCACTACACCGGGTTGACTCTCAAGTATACCAAGTGCTTGTCAACTTGACACTGATAAACCAATTAATACCTAAGTACAGATGTGCAGTTCTCATACATCAGTACGAAATATCAATCACACCAGCCGTTTTAACCCTAATTCGGATATCAACAAATTTAGCATTCAAAAATACAGGACTTATTACATAATAAACAGTTTATTTTAAAAACGAAATGGGCAATTCCCCAAACCCTAATCCTTCCTTGATTTATTCTGTAAAGAATCCGCGCGTCAAAGCCCATTTTCCTTCTGAAATGAAACTCAAATTTACTTGTCGAAATAAGAATACTAAATAATTCAAGACTCCATTATCTACTAATACAGACTTTCATCATTACTGAGTGCCTACTCTTTCAAACCCAAAAATTCACAATCTAGCATCATGATATTTTTGCAAAGCATGGAAAATTTCACACACACACAAAAAACATCTCGACCTCTCCCATCTCTTAACATCGACAAGATCGCAATGGGTAAATCGACCGAAGTCCTGATCCTTACCGATAGCTGTCAGCAGTCCCCAGACTACTCCAACGATAAGCAGCGGGCGATGACAGCATGTTGCCCGTACCGTCGACCGCGAATACTTCACCTCCTCCCGTTCTCCCTCCGCCATTTTCTACTATAAAAAAAACGCCCAGGCCCTATACGACTACACAGCGCGGAAAAAGAAGATGCCTCGATACTGCAGTCCAGCATCAATCACACATCATCGAGCACTCACTGTGGGGGATGTGCACAAGATGCAGTCCTCTCGTGGGAAACGGGACATTATTATTTTGTGTCAAGAGCTATATGCATCTTTTGCACTGGTAACAGCGACGGTTTTTTCCTGCTTATTCCTGTTTTCTGCGGGCTGATTCACCGCGCGTTCATATCAATTTCCGACTGTGCTCCCATTTGCATTCGTAATGACAGTGGCAGGCTGTAGGTTTGATTCATTACACAAAGCCACGAGTCGTGTAATGGAAAGAGATGCCGGGTGTTTAATGCATCCGTGGTACAATTTTGTGCCGCTGCCCGCTTCGTTTAAGCATGGAAGATGTGTCGCCCACGGTACGTGCTCTTGTGCGAACAACGGCAATTATTATTAAGGCAACGTATGGAGTTTCGCGATATCCTATGCCAGTCATTTTCAATTCGGCGTCAGGTGCGCTGCGTTTTTCATTATCGAGAATAAATGTAACAGGTTTCGGTTACTTGAAAGGTCGGTGAGGAAAATATATCAATACAACTCGCTCTAAAAACAAGACATGCTTCCCGGCTTTGTAATTACTGGAAGGAAACAGTTTTAATGTACCAAAGATTACAAACAAATATGATACAACAGAGCCCGCGGTTACCTCAAGAAACAAGAACAAAATACAGCATCGAATGGCAATCAATTTTTCTAAAATCGTATTTTATTAGGCCTACAAACCGTAGTAATTTTTTTTCCTGTATCATAAAATTTGACATATGTATTTTTTTTTAGCATATGTATTTTTTTTTAGACAACTTCCTGTACGTACAGCTCGCCCACAATGTGACAACCTTGTAAAATACACACCATTTATGTTTGTTTTTTCGGGGTGAAACTCGGAATCAGAACGGAGAGTAAATATTTCAATTCATGATGATATCGTTTTTTAATTACCCTACTATTTCAACAATATAGACCTGCTAATGTCCTCGAAAAAAATTGACGATAATGTTTTTAACTGATGCGTTCGCCAGCACTGCCTTTGTCTCTTGTGCAGCATCTCAAAAAAGGACCTCTGCTCTAGTACCGTAACTATTCCCAAATTCCTTCATCAGCTGATGATAGATCTTTGTATCAATATTTTTGTGTGGGTAAAAAAAATACATAAGGCAAGCAATAATAGGAGGTGCTCATCCCCAAACTCTTACGAAACGAAAATGAAATCGTTCAGATTAAAACTTTAGTTTATTTAAGAAGTCTTGGAGCACTGCCTCCCACACTTTAGAAACGTCCCACAAAATGCCTATAACACTTCATCCTGCGTTAAACACCGTTATGGGAAAACGATATACTCTGGAAACGAAGGGTTAACTCGGCCAAAATATGAAGTTCAGATATTTTCAGAATTACAAGTTGGACTGATTTCCCAATTCATGTCGTTGACGTATACCATTTCTCGACACTGACATATAGCAAGTCTACTCGGTCCCATCCACGCACAGTGAATTTGTGAATCTCCTCCTTCGGCGCCTGGCATTCGCGAAGTTTTACCCCAAATTTGACAAGGAGTGACATTTCGACAAGTTTTCTAATGTCTCTTTTCATCAGATTGAATATAGTTAAGGGTGGCTTAGACCGATCAACGCACGAGCTCACTCAGAATACATCACGGCCGTGTTATATCCTGGGCATGAAGTAAAGGCGGAGAATATACAACAGAAGTCTCACCACAGGCGCTAGAGCTGATGCATTTCAATTTCATGACGTCATTAAAAAAGAAAGGAAAATAATCAAACACATACACGGACCTGATAAACAAGTGCTATCAAATTCACATGTTTCCATAGCAACCTCAAAGCCCAAATGAAGCAGTTATGATACCTTCTCCATCGTTTGTAGCGTCGCCATGACGTCTTTTGCTCATCGTTTTTGTGTTTATGTATAGGGATACGTTTCCCCCTTTTTTAAGTAATCATTTATAATAAAAAAAAAACACAAAAAAAACGTGTGGCTCTTGTTCCTGAACGACAATTTTGCAATTATCGGTTGACATGCGCAGACTGGCCGTGCGTGCTGTTACTTATTATTATATGTTTGGTTGCAATGGTACGGTTCATTAAATTGCAATAGTAGACATTTCGCCCGTGTTTATTTTAGGCAAGCGTACTATCGTCTGGCTGTCTTGAATCATTGAACTCGTGTCTTTAATGCCTCTCAAAGGCACAATAGAGACTAGTTCCCTGTCTCCTTGCGAGATCGTGGATAAAGTCCGAGTTAGTTGTTCCTTACTGTTCCGGGTCCTCAGAGGTTGAGGTCGGACGTCTTCCGCTATTGGGTCTAAGCTGGTCGGTGTGCGTCTCACTCCGGTCGGTGCGGGGTTGGTCATCTTGCTACCGGCATCCGACCTCTTGCGACGTTTCTTTTGACTGGTGGAGTCTTTGCGGTGCGGTCTTCTACTGGGCTCGGGTGAAGATGGCTCTGAATCCTCCCCGGTATCTACGACAGGGAGAGCCGATTTCTTACGGGTGATAGTGGAGGCAGTGAGACTGAGGGACCGGTCCATCATATCGGTCAACCGGTGGGTAGAAGCATCGTCGTCGGTGCCGGTCTCGTACGGGTAGGTCCGCTCCTCCGCCTGCTGCCTCTCAATCCTTTTCCGCTTCCTCAGGTTGTGGGCCCGCAGCTTGGCATTGAAGATGTCCTCCTCGTACTTCTCGGTGGGCAGGAGGACCCGGTTCTGCCTCTCGATCCGGCCCAGGTTGCGGAGAAAGTGCCGGACCTCCCACACCTCGTGCCGGTACTTGCGCAGGAAGGCCTGGTAGGCCAGGTTCAGGCGCTGGTGGCGCCGCTGCAGCTCGGCTTCCTGGGAGCGGTTGTTGCACATCATCAGCATCTCTGCCTCCTTGCAACCGAACTTACGCTGCTTGTAGCGAAGCCTCGGTGGCAACATCCAGCTGTTGTCGGCCATCTCGGTAGACTAAAATTCAAGCTCTCCTAAAGTATCCGGAGAGTATTCTTCACGAGGCGTACAAATTACAAACACACCAGCAAAAAAATGTCTTTCCGAATAGATGTTACTATTTTCTAATACTAAAGCGAATTACACTCCCGCGTATATATCATATTGTGGTCGCTACCTCCACGATTGTGACCACAACAATGAACCATGCATCTATGACTGTCGCAATTAAATATCAAGACCCAAACTTGGTAATTATGGCTTAATTTTCACTCCTAAAGTGCACTCACAGAGATTCAGATGTAGAATTGTTAAATGCATGCAAGGCGAGGTCATTTGTCAAACCCTTGCCTCTCTTAGCACACGACACGAGTAAGGAAATGCTACAAAAATAGTCACAGTGCTATTGAGGTTTCTATTGAAAAAAAGTTGAGAATGATGAATCGCCACTCTGACGAGCGACTGAGGTCACACGACATGCACTAAGCTTAATTAGAACACTTAAAAAGCATTACCAGTATTGGGGTAAACGTTTGCTTGCTGCACGAGAAACCACTCCATCGTTTCAAGTGGCCGCCATCTACTTCACAGGGCTTGCTCGTGCCGGCATAGAGGAAGGAGTTCGCGGTTTCAAATATCCAACTTTAAATTATTAATTTCATTAATCGAGTGCACTTTGACCTTCCCACTTGCACTGTGTATATAAACAAAAATCGTCACCATGGAGAAGGGTTCATTGTTAACTTACGGGGAAGTTTTGAGGTAAATAATAGTCTTTTTTTTATACAGCATATTCGAAAGTGTGACGCTACATTCCAACGCGACGAGCAGTGGCGGCGCCAGACTCTAAAGTTTGGAGGGGCAATTAGGGGGCAAGGAAATATTTTGGGGGCAGTCAAAATCAAATCTGATGATATCCAAAATGTAAGGGGAAAGTAAGGAAATTGACGTTGGTTGCACACTATCTATGGCTGTATAAATGCATGTGTGGCGTGTTTTGTCTACCAACTTGTTTATAAAGCTTTCATTGGCCCAAAATGTGCCACAGAAAAGATGATTCACTCTATATCTTCAACTTGGTATGAATCTTAAAGCTATAGTCCATCATTTGTAATTAGTGAATTTTGTTCGTTTGAAGCAACAAAAGTGTTCAAAATCTAATGAAGGATACTGAACAACTTACTTGATGAAGTTTCAGCTCAGCTTCAGCTTCATATTCCGAGAAAAACAGCATTCTAGGATCTCAATTTAAAATCAAAAGTTGCTAAATCATGTTTCGAATTGTTTTGAATTGCAACTTTACGCGAGGTTGCGCACTGATCCAACGAATTGTAGCAACCGAGGGCGCCTGTGCGTCGTTCCCAATTTAAATTTTCCTACGGTGTGTATAAATAAGCACCGTTGGAAATGCCTTCTTTCGTTGATTTCTTCAAAATGAGAGCTTGCCAGAAAGGATAATTTCACAGGGAGTTTAGTCCCCTTACTATCTTTCAATCAGTATGTTTTTCAACAATAATTACACCGGTTACTTTTTTGAATAGCTGCAAATGATGGACTTGGGCTTTAACAGAGAAGAAAATAAATAAAAATAATTGATCTATTAGATAAAGTGTTATTTTTTTTAAGTATATTCAACACTGAGTATTAAAAAAGTATGGAGAAAAAAAATTGGGCGCACGCAAAGATTATCCGACTGAAGGTATTACGTAGTCTTGGCAACCAGTTCTTCAGATTAGAGATAAGAATGGGGAAAATATGATTCAATACAGGACAGTCGCATCCTCGATCCTGCAATCCTGCCCCGGGGCGGACTAAGGAGATTAGCGGTCACTTTATAAAGATCTACGACACCAGATGGAGGTACGGGAAGGAGGATTATGAGGCGTCCATTATGTGAGAGGATTGAATGGGGAGATTTGAGAGAAGTTTGACAGACGATCTTTTTGAGACTTGTGGGAACCAGTACGGTCACCTTGGCTTATGGAGTGAGGCAAATGATCAAGATGTATTTCATCAATACCTTTTATTCTATTGATGTTCAGAGCAAAGAGAAGCTCTCCGCGTTTACCTTTACTATACTTTTGTACCTGTTCATCTGAATTCCTTTTCAGGGGTTCATTACGTCAATTTTACACTGGATATATATCTTGTGCACACATCCATTTCTCTGACATTATATGCAGCATCTCTTAGTAGTAAAAATGTTGTAAGTCCTGCTTTTAATTAAATATGTTCTCAGGGGCGGATTCAGGGATTTTTGCGGGGGGGGGGGGGTCATCAGCAAATCAGTGGTGAAATGTAGACAGGGTTTTTTTTCTCCGGACACTTTGCCTCCATGAAATAAATAAGTGGG